ATGAAAAACACCTCCTTAGAATCCCACTAAGGATGAACCACTCCCTAGAATCACACTAGGGATGAAAAACACCTCCTTTTCCACCAATGCAAAAAGGATGAAGGTAATAAAATAAGAACAGACACACCTGGGTAATGGAGACAACAAATTGTAGAAGCCTGTAGAATGCCAATCTCCAAGAACAAGTGTGATTAACAATGAAAGCACAGAAGGCAGTAGAGAAGATGGTTTTCTCAAAATGTGTAAAATATCTCTCTTGCCTTGTTCAGAATTCTTTTCTCAAAACTGATTGAATGTAAATTGTATTTTCGAATTATGTAATTGTGTATTTTTATTTTTTCATCAAAACTTAATTAAATAGAAAAAATGCATCAGAAAATGGTCGTTGGACAATATCATAGAGAAAATCAGGATGTATTAAAAAACATTTATTCTTTAAAATGGATATATTTTTCAAATTTGAATTGCCATAATTGATTATATTACCAGTATAATTAATTATGATAGAGAAAATCATTTTTCCATTTCTGGTGCATCATAATTAATTATGATAGTGAAAAATATCATGTTATGAATTTTATCACACTTGTGTTTTTGAGGCTTATGCATAATATTACTTCATCAACTTGTACCTCCATATCTAGTATTCTAAGACTCTATCTAGTCTTCAGGAATCATCTTGTGCTTGCTTGAATCATCATCTTTATCACCTACGTCATAAATTCAGTTTGTCCTTAAATTCATCTTGAATGGTGTTGACTTGAATGTAGTTGACTTGAATCATCATCAAAATCATCTCTTGGGAATGCAGGAACATTTCCATCAATCTCCCCCTCATTGCTTTCACTAGGAACCAAAGAGATCCTTCATTTGCAGACTCCAGTTATCATAGCTTTCGTTCTTCGATAACTTTGGCAGGGGCATGCTGTTAGCTAAGTTGGTCATCTCAAAAAACTCTCTAACTCTCAAACACTCTCTCTAATGCACTCAGACACTCAGGCTCTCAAGCTCTAATGCCAATTTGTTGACAAACGTATCTAAACAAAATACTCTATGTGTTATCACTTGATGTTTTTGCAATGAGTGATACATGGTCAATTTATAGGCCTTTGGACATGGTCTCTCAACTACATGTATTTAATACAACAACTACCTCTCAACTACATACATATTCAATACAACCACTACCTCTCAACCACTACCTCTCAACTACATGCATTTAATGTTTACCTAATAATATTATCTTTTCTTTTTCAAGCTTGCTTTAAATGTGACCTCGAGTTAGTTTCACCCAAATAATTGTGTTTTTTTAAAGGTTTTCCAAATCCAGAGTCATATTCTTCACATTGTTCTCATTGCTACTAAGTTTATATATTTTTATCAATTAGAGCGAGATACAAAAGTTGGTTGGATATCATCAAATGGTTCCCAATATGATGACCATTTTATTTAAATTTTTAAAAAAGTAGTTTCTTTAAAGTTAAAGTTCGGAGATGGACTTGCAATTTTTTACTTTTACTCACCCGAGACTTTTTCAAAGGAAACTAATTTTGCTTTAGGAGTAAGCATGGTTCACTCAACTGAGTGGATCATTTAAATTTTTTACAACATCTCAAGATGACTTATCAACATTGTTAAAGTTGAAGGGTGATCTCCCCCTCCATTTGATGCTAAGTAACGAAGGTTGTTGGAATCGCTGGGTGCTTAGACTCGTGGAGGTGATTGTTAGGTGGATGATTATCATTCACTTTTGGAAATGGAGAAAGTTAAGTTGAAACTCAAAGGTCAAAATATCCAACTCCAAACACAATTAGTGGATTATCAAAATGCTATATCAAGGAGAATGAAGTTATTTACAACTATAGAAAAGGATGTTCAAGAGCTTCATAAGCTTGTGGAGATATATAGCATACCAAAAGGCCAAATATGTTTTAGATTAAAATATGAAGATACAATGTTGTTTGGGCGACACCTAAGCAGGGAAAAAGAGGAATATCTTAAGAAGAATATGTAAAGTGGAATATGATTTATTGAAGGTATATGAAAATGGCTCGAAAAGGATTATGGATGTGTTTCCATTTTTTTTCTCTTCTTTATATTATTTTTTTTATTTTTCATATTTTTCTCATTAGTCTAGAGAATTTATTCGTTTTTGGATGAAATAATACTTTTCAATAAATCAAAATTCTAGAATGATTTAATGAAATTTTATAATCTTGGGCTGAAATTACAACAAATTAATATTCAACTTATATAATTTATTTTATTATATCATTATAATTATTCAAAATCTTTCTCAATATAATTTCAAAACTCTTCTAATTACTAAAGTTTTACTAAATATGGTTTTTCACTTATTATTGACTTAAATTAACAAAGAATAGAATATTAGGTTCAATGACTTAAATTAACAAAGAATAAAATATTAGATTCAAAAGGACTAACACAAATGTTAATAATTATAAGGTAGATTATTTTAACTCTAGCTGCTAAAAAAGTAAAATGTTTAAATCATTTCTCACGTAATCAAGTTCAAATAATAAAAAATAAGTTAAGTTCACGATTCTCGCAATCAAATAATAATTTGGTTCGAAGTTCACATGAATTATTTTCTATCTAATTAAGTTATGATTAAACTTGATTAAGAGTTATATAAAGAAAATAATACCATACAAATTATTTTAACTAAAATGAAATTAATCTAAATAATTAAATATTAATTTCAACTTAAATTTATTGACTTAAATGTATACAAATTTTAAAAATATATTCCAAACTTGAATATTGTATTATGCTTAATATAAACAAAAGTAATATTAAAATAAAATTAATAAATATAAAGACAATAATTTAATAATATCCAATTATTCATTAGAATGTAAAAATTCATAAAAATACTTTAATTTTTATTATTAATTTTTTTAAAATTACATTAACTTCCATTTTAATTTCAACTACACTGTGAAGATGAATCCATTTGGATATTGATTTATCATATATTAATTTTAATAAATACAATATTTTGTCAAATAATAATTTTCTAAAATATTTTTATCATGAAATATTTTTATTTTTTTATAAAGTTTAGAATTAACTAAAAATTATAATCTTAATTCCTTTAGGTATTGTAATCATAATAATTTATTATTATTTATTTTAATAAAAGATATATGACAAGTAAGTTAATTAAGATGAATAATAAGTAGCTCAATTGTATTTTGTAAGTTGTTTTTTAAGTTTAAAAGGTATATCCAATTTAAAACTAATATTTTTTATTAGATTGAATAATTTATTTCAAAATTAGTAAATAATAGATATTTAATACATAAAAAAATAAAAAAATTATTATAAAAATGAGTTTTTTTAATCAATAATTCTTGAAATCTTAAATATTAAATTTAAAAAATTTTACAACAATATGGTAGGAAAAAAATACCCATAAAATTTAATAATCTATAAATAAAATATTTTAAAATATAATAATATGATTAAACAAAACCTTGAATAATTTCATGAATACATGAAAAAGAAACGTGATAGCGTTTATGTAAAGGAAAATGATCCACAACCCAAATAATAATAATAATAATAATAATAATAATAATAATAATAATAATAATAATAATAATAATAATTTTACTTTATTTTTATTAAATCATTTTATAAATTATTATATTAATAAAATTATATTAATAAAAGTGAATTATAAAAGTTTTTACGTCGATACTTCACTATTTTCAATGTCGGTTAATTGACAACCGTTGAAGACTTTTAATATCACATCAATAACTAACCGATGTTGTAAAGCAACTGAAGATTTTCTTGTACACTATAAAATCACTGTTACCTATTAATGTGATATTTGTTCAGTTATTTTTTTTTTAAATAATGAAAATAATATACTTTCTAAAATATTTTCTCAAATATTATATTGTTTGAAAAATCAGAATTAAAATTTTTTAAAATATATATCTTAATTATTTAAAATTATAGAATTTTAAATTCAACAATTTTTTTTTACTTTTTCTTTTCACTATTTTATTTCTTCCACGTTTCCCCTTTATTTCTTCCACGTTTTCCCTTCCTCTCTTAATTTTTTCTTTTTCTCCGTTCTTTTGTTCATCTTTATTTTTAATAATATTTATATCTTTAATTTATCATTTCTTTCTCATAAAATTCATAAAAATAATAAGTTTTACATTTTTTAAATTATTAAATATCAATATATTGCAAAAAATAATATATAAGTTCATAAATATATTTAAGAAATGTATATAAAAAGTAAATTGTTTCGAAACTAAAATTTAGAATTTAAAAAGTTGAATTAACTTTGAAACAAAACATTTTTTAAAACAGTTAAATTTTGAAATTTTAAAATATAAGTAATTCGTTATAGTTCTTAAATGTAAGAGTTATTGAAAAATATATAAAGTCAATTTAGCCTTAAAAGAAAAATGTTAGGTATTATCTAAAATTTTGCCCTAATATCTTGCGAGGTAAATTATGCACATTGCCGTGGGTGTTAAGGTAAATTATGCACATTGCCGTGGGTGTTAAGAGGGAAATGTAAACCATTACAAATTTTAATATATTAAATATGTAACGATTAATATTTTATTATGAGTATTATCATTTCTACAAATGAAAAGACAATAATAGCAAGAACTTTCTGATACATAATATACATTCTATTGAACTTCGTCGTCACACACTTACATATTACAGAAAGAGAGGCTCATACTCGCTACAGTAAACTTCATTGCATAGATACGTATAGAGCCATGAAAACACGAAAACCTAAAGACGACCTAAAACACTAAACAACAACAACCTAAAACACTAAACATCATATATGCTAGCTAATTATTTCAGGACATGACACTTTCACTACTACCTAACACTTAATAACCTTTTCTTTCATAGTTGTTAAAACACTTGAAACTCACTCAAGCTAGCATAAGAACACACTCAAAGCTGGTGTGTGTTATATGATGGTGTTCTTAATTATTGGCAGTATTTCTGAACTTGGATTCATCAATTTCAATGCCTTCCTCTTGAGCACGTTGTTCTCCTGATTTGTCCATGGTGCTCAACCCACCCTTGCGTCCCATTTCTTGGTACCCTTCCGTCCCCAGTTGTTCCTTCCTTGTTTGGCCTCCTTTGCTCCTTCCTTTCATATAACAGTCATGAAAAGAAACAAACCCCAAAGTCAAATTTTTTCACCCAAAATAGCTAACAAACAGAAAAATAACTTCACCAATAACACTTGGGGGTTAGGAAGTGTTAGGAGAAAGTCAAGATTTAGTTTTTTCACCACAACATGGTCTATAAATACGATAGATAATAAAGATTTCAATGAAAATGAAAGCAAGTGTAAGTTAGCAGAAAATTAAAGTATAAGAAACATAATGTTTTAATGATTTGATTATAAACCTTCAGCAAGGTGTTGCTGAGCCTCGAGGCTCTTGCCACCAGTGCCACCAGGAACAACAGTCTCTCCCTGCCTTGCTCTGTCATCAAGCTCTTGCTTGTTCTGTTGACGATTTGCCATGTTTCCTTGCAGATTTCTCACTACCCTTTTGATGACTATGCGATTGTAACGTTAACTAGATTTGTTTTGGAAGCTATGTGAGAAGAAGAGAGGGGGTTGAGGGTTTATATAGGGTGCAAAATGTGAGATATAGTTAATGCCTCGTAGCAAATGTCCATGCATTATTATTAGAGGGAAAAACCAGAAGGTGACAACGGGTTAAAGTGGAAAAGAAGGTGTGGCCATGCATTGACACGTGCGACACAGACGCGGCTAAAGGAGAAAGAAGACACGCGTGCATAACTCTCCACATGACACGTATCAGATGGAGAGGATAGTGAAACTCTTGCTTTTGTTTCTAGGGTTTCTCTTGCTCCCATGCAATGAAGCTGCCATGGCAAATTCAACCATTTTTTTTCTTTGGTTGTTGTTCTTGCAGAATCATTTTGCGTACGTGTAGATTAATTTCTCTATGTTATGTAACACATAGTTAAGTTTTGTACTTTGAAAAGAAGTTATATATTTAATGAAAGTGTAATATATTGTAAATACATATTTATGCTGTTGCCGATCAATAACAAAATCATTATTAAGTATTTGGAATTTATTTTATTTTATTTGTAATCTTATATATTTAAATATGTTAATTTGGTTATTTTATGATAGACTTATGTAATTAAAAAAATTACAAATATACTACTTAAACTTAAAAAATAAATTTTCCCGAATTACTTTACAAAATAAATTACCGTGATAAGATGTTTCTTGGTGATTGAAAAATTATTATATAATTTTTTGGACTTTATCCATTTTTTTATTTTTTTTTATTCCTGATCTATGTTTTGATCAATCGAAATTCCATAACTTTTTCGTCTTTTACCCTCTTAATTATAATTTCTGCCATTGACTAATAACTATAATTCATGATGACATATTTGTCATATTATCAAAGAGTTTAAGATAATTATGAGTATTATTTTTTTAAACTGTATTTTTAATCTTTATTAAATCAATATATAACATCTAATATTTGAAATAAAAAATAATTTATCACATTGTAAAAATTATTTCTTGATAATGTGACAAATAATTGAATTGTCAACATAATTAATGATTAAATTTTTTATTGACAATAAAAACGAAATGTTATTAGAAAAGAAGGTCATAAAGTTTAATCATTCAAAATTTAGATTAGGGATAAAAAATAAATTTGAAAATTTTTAGAAACCAAAATAATAAAAAGTTTTTTCTAATGTAATTTTTTTTAGGTAATTGTATTGTTGGTATAAAATCTAACAGATTTATAACAACTAATCTCAATATCGGATAATAGATTATCATTCTAACTAAGTTTATTCCAAGTATAAAACTTGAACATAAATTTTAGTTGAAGAAACTGATATAACGTACATCAACAATAAATATATATATATATATATATATATATATATATATATATATATATATAATATTTTTATTTATAATTTATATTTATACATAAATGAATTCCTTTTTACATATCTTTTGATATTATAAAAAAAGTGTTTTAAAGAAAAGTAATTATTATGATTTATTTATTTTAACAAATTAATAACAATATGAAAAAGAGAAAATATATTTAAAGAATAGAAAAAATATTAAATTTAAAATAATATTTTAAAACCATTTAACTCCTTATTTAATAACAAGAATATTTGTTAGTTATTTGATAATAATAATAATAATAAAATATTTTTATTACTATTGGTTTGTGAGATAATTGCATATGAAAAAGATCGTCACAATATAATTATTTTTTTCTTTTAAAATGATATTTTCATAATTTTCTTTGCATATACAAAATTTTCTTCCAAAAATATAATAATAATTTCTTAATATTGAGTCTTTAGTATTTTATTATAAAAGGGTTGTAAATATGGAAGAAGGTTCTAAAAATATTATTAGTGTGTTAAATATAAGAGAAAAAACCTTACAATTTCTTACTTTTAAGAATTAAGTTTTTACCTCGTCATACAATGAAATTTAAATCATACATACTTAAACAGAATCACTTAGATTTTCACACTATAAAAGATATTGTTGGCGTGAAGTGTCTTGTCAGAAAATAAAAGACCATGTTTCAAGGTGATAATGTTTTATTTTCATGTTTTAATTTCAGTCCATTGATGTCTAAAGTTCATGTCAAACAGTTATAATCAAAGATTGTAATTAATTTAAATTAGATATTTTTCAATTTAAATTAAAAATTATTTCTTTATCAAAATATTGTAAAAGCACATGTTAACAGCAGAAATCCTAGAAAAGGTTATGCGGCAAATTAATTTCTATACTTTTAATTAGCAAATCAAAAGCAATAAAACACCCAAATTGGATATCCATAATACTCATTTTAAAATCTTAAGGTTGGAACAAAGCAAATCGTTAAAACAATACCAAATTTCGAACTTCAAAGGCTTGAAGAAAATAAATATTGTTAAAAACCTAAACCTAATAGTTGAAATAAGATCAATCACCAATGTTATAAACCAATCAGTGATAAAATTAATGAAGCCTCAGTGTCTAGAGTTTGGAAGTTAATCCTTCCAATCATCCCACGTATCAGTACAAGCCTACGACAGACATCATTGGCAGCGGCAACAATTTCAGGAAAAAAAAAACCACGGATTTGTAAAACAACACAGTGAATTGCAATTTTCCATGGTTTTTCTTATTTCAAAAAAACACATAGAAGATAGTAGGAGTTGAATGACGAACAAATTAGTAAACAAAATTCAAAGATGAAGAAATTCTGAACAGAACCAGAATGGAGGAAACTGGCAACCATGAACAGAGGAAACTGAACAGAACCAGAACCTGAACCGGAAAGTACGAGGAGTAAGGGTTAAGGTTTGTTATATATAGGAGAACTCGAAAATCGTAATTTAAGAGTATAGAAGCCCAAAGGTTGAATATTAATGGGCTTAATTTTCCTTCAGAATTCAGGTCCAATATAAATTCAGTGAAGAAACAGAAATAGTTAAAAAAAATTAGAAACTAATATTTTTCTTGTTATAATTATTTTTTTTCTAAACATTCTTAGAAATTAAATTTAAAAAAAAATACAATTTAAGGAGTTAACTATCTATCAGCTTATGAGACATATTTTTCTTTAAATAGTCTGTTTATTAAAGCATGGTTTTTATATTTCAACTATTTCTGATGTGTAATATTTTTCTCTTATTGATAAATATGAATTGTTAATACTTTTTGTTTTTATTATTGGCGATTTAGGTTATTTAATTAAGCGTGAATTAAGTTACACAAATAAAATAAATCAATAACTCATTTGCGGCTAATTTGATGAAGAGAAATCTAAAATATCAATATTATAATAACAAGCTAATATTTATAAAACAAATTCGTTGGTGACATTTTAATATTTAACTAAGCAAATTGAATGTTAAATATTTATTTTTTCTTTTTTAAGTTTATTTATTTAAAACAATAATTTATTTTAATCATTATACTATAAAAAATGAATAATAATGATAACAATAAAATAAGTTTTTAATTTTAAAAAATATTATTAGGTAATATTGTGTAGTTACAAGATAATATTTGTTAAAATTCTTAGTGATAAAAAATTAATTACTATGTTTTAGTAAAAAAGAAAAAATCTGTTTCAAGCCAGTAATAGGTATAAAGAGTATTAATTATCATTAGTTAGGGATGAGATTTGTGAGGGAATGACAATTTAATTCTATTAATAAAAATCACACAAAAAATTAAATATAGAATTTTGAATTTTCCTTTCAAACCAGAAACTAATTTTTTTTATGTATATTTTTTCTTTTAACTTTTTGAGTAAAGTATTATTTGCATTCCTAAAGAAACAAACCTTATTTGATTAGTTCTTAATATATTTGTGGCATTTAAGTAGTAAAGTATTTTTATAAGGATAAAAATAGTTATTGTATTAATAATTTTGTTAAATCATGTTGATCTCTTCCTCAATTAAGTATGTTGACATCTTTTTCTTTATTCTTGGCCATATGTCTTGTTATTTAAATTTTAAAAATGGCAAAAAACAAAAGAAGTGAAATTATCATTTTGATTGTGGAAAAATATATTCGGTGACACTTAGATCTTTAAAATAAAAACCAAAAACAAATTTATTTGCAAATTTAAAAGACTAAATCTTTATTTAAATTTTCTGTGTTTCAACCAAAAGCACAGAAAACCTTTGAACTTAAAGAACATTTACAGATGTTGCTCCAGTGTGATAGAACATGCAGTTTTTGCACTTATATTTTGTTACAACATTGTCAAAAATATTTGATTCCAAGTATCTGGAACTCCAGGCAAACACCAATGGATGCAATCAGCATTTCTTGGATTAGCCTTTTCCTCCTGAGTCAGTAATTTTCCCCCAGTTTCAGTGTAAACAGAGGAATGAGCATCAATCCTGTACTCTGAGATCTGTGTTATGTTGATAAATTTCACTGCCACTTTCATTCTCTTCACCACTTTTTCCACCACCCTCAACATGCCCTTGTTGGAGCCACTTCCCCAGTGGTTCTTTTTCCCTATTGGCTTTGTCTCATTGAAACACTTGACACCATCTTTGTTGCCCCAGTCTGCACTTCTGAAAACATGACTCATTGGTATGAAAAAATAAGGTTAATTAATAATGAACAGGTTTTCAGTTTGTGTTTGAAACATTGCTTCAAGGTACAGTTTTGGAGGTTAAAACTTGAAGAAATTTAGATAAAGCTTGAAGTTAAGAGAGACCTTGTGTGTGTTGGGGACATGGTTGTGAAGAAAACCCGGGTTTTGTTTGGATCAATGGTTGAGTCAACCCAGTTGGCCCATGTCCTTAGACCTAAGTTGTAAGCAATTTGATTGTCCAATTCTTCATACCCTTCTTCTCCATTGCCAAATGAACCCCATCTACAATCATTAGACAACATTTTTTTTCCTTTTCATTAAATTAACCATCTGATCTATAGGTGAAGTTCATCCAGAAATCAGTCTTGATTGAGAAAAAAGAAAATGTACGTTTTTAAGTCCATTTTTTATCAGCATAACACACACACAGACAATGATGATCTTTTATATAATACATTTTAGGTTAAAATGAAAGAGGACTTACAGTGCTTTAACCTTAATATCACTCATCCACCATACATAGGAATTGAAAACAAGGATATCCACTCCCGTCCAGTTTCTGGCACGATCCATGATCGAATCAACTTTCACTATCTGCTTCTTGGGATCCCTTATGCTAAAGAACTCAGTGTTGGACTCCACAAGCATTGGTGCCCAATAGAATTCTATGGTAGCATTGTATTCCTATATCATTCATAGATGCAGTAAATAAGGATAATTAGTTTTGAATTTTCAAGACGGAATATCGAAACTATAAATATATTTTATAAAGATAACAAAAATATTTAAGAATAAAAGGAAGGAATAAACTATATAGACAGTGATGTTGAAGATTTAAGAATCATTGTTCGTTTCTTACTGAATAGAAGGAATATTAGTTCTGTATTTTATTTTGCATTTACATGATATCAATACCTTGGCTTTGAAAACTGAATGAGTCCCTCGTTTCATTGACTTGTGCTTTTGGGGTATGATCCCTTCAACCATACACACAAAGGATTCCCATTGGCTTTTTTGCAGTGAATCCCCTACAAATAGCAGCCTCCTTCCTTGAAGCTTCTTGAGAGCTACCTCTGGATTAAACCTATAAAATGTTGTCATTTTTTATCTGGGTTGTATAAGGTAAATACATATCTCAATGATAAAAAACCAACCTTGTGACTAAAGCAGTTTAAAGAAGAAAATTAGTAATTTACATTTTACTCTTATCTTCATTATTTTATATATGTATACATTTTGTTATAATGGGTCTATTTACTCTATATATTATTTTAAAGTATATAAACTTTCAACTATATATGATAATCTATTATTAGTAATGAATGTTTTTTAGAGGAGAGAGATTCAAAGTTAAAAACGGTAAATAAGACTAGTTCTGCAATCATAATATGTGGGCATGTTATGAAGTTTTTGAGACCTACTTGGGCAAGGTGCAATCTTCTGGGTGCCATTCCCAATAGTGGTAGTCAGAATCTACCCTCCCATTCTTGACACAAGAATAAGGCCTACTTATATAAGGGCAACTTTTGTCTGAATACAGAGGCTTTATTGAACTGTTAAACACCCATTTTCCATTGGTAAAATCGCACTCCTCAGGGTCATAAACAAATCCATCGTTAAACCATGCAGCATTAGGAATAGGAACCATCTCTTGTGTCTTTTTATCATCTTTTGGACAAACCACAACATCAGACATCACTGATATTCATTAGAGTCAAATACTCATAATAAAAATGTAATGAACATAAGTTCTGTGTGTAGAAGAAGAATGATAAATAAGAAACAATACATGCAAAGAATATAAGAGGACTTACTGGATTCAGGCTTGGTACTATTTTTAGGACAAGGTTTGGGATTAAAAATGGAACTAGAAGAAAAGAAGTTGAAACTTTCTGCATACAAGATGACAATGAATAGTAGAACACAGATTTTGATGACAGGAAACTTTCCACTGGGGGGCTTCATTGTCATTCCTGAGGTGATTCTGATGATGGGGTGAGGGAATTGAAGCTTAAATGTTGGAAGAAAAAGTTTTAATTGATGCAGAGGACATACCTTGGAGGAAATTGTTCATAGTCTTTTGAGTATGAGTGAAGTTGAATCATAGGCATTGGTTAAAAGTAAACTTAGTTGAAGTATAGTGGAGGTAAATAAATTACTTGAAGAGTGACTCATCTTGTGCTTCTCTTCTTTTCTCCCTGTAACTGGAAGCTATGCATTTCTTCACGTTCTTATATTTTTTATTGCCTGTGTGAAACGTCTGAGAATTATAATTTATTGGAAGACTTGTTAAGTCTCGCTCATCTCTTGCTCCATATGATTTGTGCTAAACATGAGTGAATAGTGGCTTTTTCACTATTATGGGGCAATAAAATTTCGATTTTTCTGAAGGGGTTGAAAATTTTAAATTTTTTTAAATTAAATCGTGACTGGTGAGATGATTTTGAGAGTGAAATCGTAATTAGAAACACACTTCTAATTAAAATTGTGCGTTCAAGCACGATTTTGATTTTTTTTTTGGATAAAATGATTTCCCAAGAAATGGAGTTTCTCTCGTCATGTTTTTGGAGAATTTCATCAAGGTAAAAGTTCAAACATGGGTCAAGAGTCCACAGAGATCAAAATAGTTGCTACTGAATATCACGCGAGAGCTAACAACAATGTCAACTCATCACCATTATCATTTCCTCTAGTGCAACAACAATATCAGTTCCTACGTGATGACTATGCTAATCCAAAGAATGCGGTAACAATTATGTCCTCACCTATTGGGTGAACTACCATAATCACTAATATTAATGAAAGAAGAGGTTATCATACCCTAATTCTAACCAAAACGAGTTTGCGCTTCAATGGAGACTTAACCCATTCTCTATTGTTTCCTTTCCAACTCTCATATTTCGTTCAACCTCTATCTTTTTACAATTGGTCATTCATGTTAAATTCTGCCTCTAGTGTTAACATCATAACCATGAGAAATGTTTCTCACTCAATTTCTTCCATACGTCCACGAGCTGGAGCGGATACCATGATTCCATTTTATAAATACGAAAATAATATATATTTTATAATTGTGAGAAATTGTGCGAACAAGCACGTTTTTTGTTTCGAACAAAAAATAACACTAAAATCGTGCTTAGAAACACGAATTCAGTGTAATTTTATCATCCCAAAATCATTTCATCTGACACGATATAACCCATTTGGGGAAAATTTAAAATTTTTGACCCCTTTCAATAAAATCAATTTTTTTATTACCCAAAATGGTGAAAAAGCCGTGAATAATAGAAGAGAACTTAAACTTTTAAGTTATTTTGTGGATGAGTCTTAAGTTGTTCCCAGAAAAAAATGGTTAGATTTGGTGGTTTTAGTCAATAAATTCTTTTTTTTTTTTCATGTCTAGTTAATCCGTGGGTAAGTCACGGATAAGAAAGTTCGGTTGACCTAATCTTTTTTTTTTTTAAATTATATATTAAAATTAAAATAAAATAAATTATAATTAAAAATATTATATTTTTGTATATTATGTTATTGAAATATGTAAATATATTATAATATTATAATTTAAATTATAAAAATTAATAAATTAAATTAAAATTATTGATTATAATTAATTATTTTAATATAAATATAATAATTTTTTAAAATTTATTTAATAAAAATATTAACTAATAAGTAAAATTTAAAAAATTATTGATATAACTAAAAATATATTAGAAAAATATATAAAAAAGTTTTATATAAAAAAAATCATTGGTTTATTGAAATTTATAGTCTGTTTGTTTGATTATGGTAAGCCAATCTATCCTATCTTATTTTTTTATGAACTAAAAATAAAACAAGAAAAACGGATAGATGGACCAATTTTACAGGAAAGTTCATGATGTATTTATCATACAATTATATAATTAAGCTTTATATATAGTTAAAATTATTATTATTATTATTATTATTAATTTATGTTAAACCATACAAAAATACCTTAAAATATCACAAAAGAATACATATTTATATATTCCAATAAAAAAATATTTATTTAAATTTTTTAACAGTGTAACGAGTCTTAATTTTCACTTATCAAAATGCTCTTTCTTCTTTTCGATGATTGCTCAGATATCCTTACACCAGTTGAAACTTCCGTGGCAGAGAAAACATTATTTATATGTTAAGAGAGATGAATAATAAAAATAGTGAAGAAAAGAGTGACCTAAATTAGAATCAATTTGGGATGGAGTGTTAAATGAATTAGTGAAAGAGTAGAAGGAAAATTAATTAAGGAGAGTACAAAAGTGGAATAGGTTTTAAAAAATAAATAAATTGAATCACGTAACATACTATAAAAGTAAGCTTGAATATTGTAAAAAGAGAATGGAAGAAAAAAGAAATAAAAAAACACGCAGGTGCGAATTAATTTTGTTCATCTTGAGCAATTCGTGAACTCTTATTTCAGTGATAAGGAAAGAAAATATAAATAAAAAATAAAGTAATATATATATATATATATATATATATATATATATATATATATATATATTAGAGAAGTGACATAAATTAAAGTTGTAATTATGAAAGTAACAAATAGATACAAATTAAGAAATTATAAAATTATTCATATATTTATTTTTAAAGATAAATAAGACATGAACAATTTTAAAAAATATATTTTTTTAATATTTTTCATCATTTTCCTTTTTTATATATAAAATTGTGGACCGCATGGATAGAAATTCCATTGTAAGTGGAAAAGTGTTTTTTTTTTTTTTTATTTTATTTTATTGTAAAATAAAGACCTTTGAATATTTAAAGCATGTATTTAGTTAATTCGAAATACTAAAAAAAAAATTTTTTTTATTTGTTTTTCTGTACAAGTCATTTTCTATTTTATATTTTTTTAAACTAATACAATTTTGAATTATTATTATTAATGAATTATTCACAATAATTATTTTAGAATGTTAGGATATCTTTTTGGTAAGGGATTCAAAATCTCATATTATGATAATAAAAAATAATTTGTAACGGTTGGTTAACTAGGTCTACTTTAAATTATTCATTGTTTATTTTTTATTTTACTCATAATATTAAAATAGGTTTAATTTGATAATTGGATATGAAAGATTTAAAAAATAAACCAAATTAAATAAATAAAGAAAACTTGTGCATTAAATTTAAAAAACCTATTTTGTTTTGGTTTGTTTAGTTCATTATTTATATGAGTTTAGATCAAGATAATATACAAGTTAATGATAGATTTATTTTATAAAATAATAATTATTTTTTAAATAAAAAAAATATAATATCAAATAAATTAATTTGATAAATAATTTACTTATTTTAAGAGAAAATATAAGATTAAATTTTTAAAAAATTACTTATTTTAAAATTTAACATCTAATAATTAAAATTAATTATTATTTTAGATGAATAAATTATTAAAATAAAAATAAAAATAATAATTATGAATAAATTTTTAACTTTTATTTTAAAATTAAATATATACATCCTCTTATAATTTATATATTAAATAATTATATTTTAAATAAAAATTAATTTTATTAATATAATATAATTTTAAAAACATATTATTTTATTTAAATATTTTTAATTAATTATTTTAATATAATATGTTAATAGTATTTTTTAAATTTTCATCACAAATTTAACACCTTATCATTATCTAATATAAGATCATCTTACGTTAATTATGGTATATTTTAAAATATAAATCGAGTTGAATTATAGTTTTTTTATTTATTTTTGTAAAGCACTTGAAGTTTGTTTGACCCATTGGCAACTCTAATTTGATCGAGCGATAAAAACTTCAAAATTTTTATATTGGACTTCTCATATTTATATGACATAAATGCCAAGGAAGGATGAATGTGAGAACATTGGTTTATATAATTGACATCTTCATGTCAAGAAAAACACAAGGAAATGTGTTGTTACAACATTGCCAAAAATATTTGATTCCAAGTATCTGGAACTCCTGGCAAGCACCAATGAATGCAATCTGCATTTCGAGGGTTGGCCCTTTCCTCCTCGGTCAAAATTTTGCCCCCAGTTTCACTGTAAACAGAAGAATGAGCATCAATCCTATACTCTGAAATCTGGGTTATGTTGATCACATTCACAGGAACTTTCATTCTCTTCACCACTTTGGCCACCACACTCATCATATCCTTGTTGGACCCACTTCCCCAGTGGTTCTTCTTCTTCACTGGCTTTGTCTCGTTGAAACATTTGATACCATCCTTGTTGCCCCAGTCTGCGCTTCTGAAAACATCACATTTGAATTGTTAGAACCGCAAGTTCAGGGTTATGTTATGTTATGTTTCTCAGATCTAATTAACAAGCACGATTATTTATTATTAGCATCCCAACATGGATATTTATGGATTAAAACTTACTTGGAATATGTTAACATATGATGTAATGACAGTTACGCGTGCTAAAGTGATTGTATTTTATATAATAGTTAGATTAACGTAGAATAATTTTTATGAACTGATATTATAAAAGCTTTTACACTTATTTTTAGAAAATCAAACTATTGATTGTGGAATGCCAAAGCTTGGAGTTTGAGAGAGAGAGAGAGAAACAAACTTTGTGTGAGCTGGGGACATAGTTGTGAAGAAGACTCGAGTTTTGTTTGGATTAATAGTTGAGTCAACCCAATTGGCCCACGTTCTCAGACCAAATTTGTAAGCAACTGGTGTATCCAATTCTTCATACCCTTCTTCTCCATTGGCAAATGAACCCCATCTGCATGTAATTAAGCTTTTAGTTAAACATCAAATGTTACTGAGTTTTGACAAATGAAAATGATCATGAACCATAAAGGTGAAAGCTTACAGTGCTTTTATTCTGAGGCCACTCATCCACCATACATAGGTATTGAAAACAAGGATATCCACTCCCGTCCAGTTTTTGGCACGCTCCGTGATTTCATCCACTTTTATTATTCTCTT